CAGGAATTACCCCCCATATGTGCAACCATTTTCCACCTTGGTACCACCCAAGCCTGAAAACAAAATCTTAATACCACGCTGCAGCGTTTGGTAATGAGAAAATCGAGCGATTGGAAAATAAGTTAGACACGCAACAGTGGCCAACTAAAACGTGACAACTTAATATTTCACATCAAGCAAGTCGTAAATGAGAATTAGGATGAATCTGAAGAAAAAGTTGAACATTTTATTTAGGATAAATTAAACATAGCAGACAACATAGAATTCGAAAGAGTCCACCGAATAACTGGGTCACGTGTTAAACCTCAACCCATTACCGCCAAATTCAGTCATTTTAAAGACCGCTCAAACGTGTTATAGAATGCGAGAATAAATAGAAGTTCGCTCTATGATGGAATGAGTGTTGGTGAAGATTTCTCGGATTTGGTGAGAGAAAAGAGGCGCAAGTTATGGCCTAGTATGCAGAGCGCACTGGAAGAAGGTAATCACACTGAGATACAATGAGTTGATTATCGAGGGTGAATTTTATATCTACGATCTTAAAACTCAGACTGTAGTTAAAAATGGAGGGCTTACACAACGATAACAAACCACAGCAGATCTCTATAAATAGTATATTGGATAGGAACTATACAACTGCTGACAATCTTAATAAATCATTTGAATATAATGTTATTAATTGTATATGCTGGAATGTCAATATTGCTCGATCTAAATGATCCAACCCTGATTTTCATATGATTTGTCTCACGGAGACACGTTTTCCTTGATGGGTATAAATCCTTATGTAGTATTCGACCCAAGCATTGTTACCTTGGCAGGTACTCTAGTGGAATTCTATTGTAATGCAAAACGCATGGTCTCCAGTCAGTAAATCAATTGTATAGCAAGTCTGTGGATATAATATGGGTGAAAACTAATGATAATTTATTAATTGGTATTTCCAAGTTGTTTATTTATTCATTTTTTTAACCTGATTTATTTTTCCAAAACTTATTTTCTGAGACTTAGAAGTTCTGTATGGCATCAGGTTGGTTATGGCGGTACCACTTTTGCGGATGCCTTGCGGTGTTTGGTGCTGTGGTGGTGTCGGCAAAGCGTGCTGGCATACAGACACATTTGTTAACTTATTGATTAATAAGCTATATGTTTATTTATTACCGATTTGTATTAACTTTCATATTCATTTGTTTAGTTATTTATTAATTTGGTTAGTTAATCTTCATATTAATATACTTATTTTTGGCCCTCTACTATATACATTATAATTTACTTCCAATGTATATAGGAAAATCAGACTAGACTAGCAGTAAGCTATTTTCAGATTTCCTGTTTACCCAATATATATATGTATTTTTCTTACCATTTGTTTTTCTGTATGGCTTACTTTTTTTTTTCAGTGTTTCTTATTGTAATTATTATTATTATTATTATTATTATTATTATTATTATTATTATTATTATTATTATTATTATTATTATTATTATTATTATTATTATATTTATCTCCCGAAGGTTCTTCTTCCTATTCTGGCATTAATTTTTTTGGTGTACTAGACAACGCTAAATATTCCCAAATGTATCCCAACTACCATTGTTTGATCTGCGGCGATTTTAATGCTAGATCTGCGAATCAAATAGAATACTGTATATATTCCCTGCAATGAAGAATATTTGAGTGATGTTATTTTATCACAAAGACGGTCACATGACACAGAGACCGGACATCGCCTTTTAGAGTTATGCAAAACATCTGGACATTTTGCAAACAATAGTGGCTACTTTACTTTACGGCCATGGTGGTAGTGTTGTGGATTATTTTTGTTATGTAATTCCTCAGTTATGTTATGACAGAACTTACAAATTTCTATGTGGATGATAGAATTGAGTCAGAGATCACTAACTTTTAATTTTAGTGTGAAACAAAACCGCAATGTTATAGTAGCCTCGAATGTCGCATTTGTTACAAATAATCCTATCATTTCTAAAATAACCTGGGATGAAAAATATAGTAAAATTTTTCACCGTTTTTGGAACAGAGAGCGTGCTGCTTCCATGTTTGAATCAATTTATAATTTTATCAGTAAGGATAGTTTGGATGAGACAATTACTCGTATTGTTGACCTTTTATATACTGCCGCAGCTGAAATGAAACATGTAGTCAAAAATGGTAGACCAAGGCAGTATCAGGGGGAAAATCTCCTCCTCTAGGGTTCTCCACACTTGCTGGGGGGGGGATATCTCGCCTCGTCTATCTATCGCGTCCCCTTGAGGTACGGGGCCAGGAAAGTCACTTAAACTTTACAGTCAAATAAGACACACACAACGAAATACGTTTCAACTCTCGTCTTAGTCGGTCAGTCGAGCACTCTCTAAGACACAGCGCCCTGGGGAAAAGTCCCCAAGATTATCGCAAGGCTGACTCAAGACTCTGTCCCAAGACTGCGTCTAGACTCGCCCCAAGACTCTCTAGGACTCGACTGCGTCTCTCCTGGTGTACTCGCCAAGACCAACTAAAAACAACTTTATTCATTTTCAAAACATTAACCAATTACAAAGCAGTATTAAGACTCTAGGGCGTAACCTTCAATCATAAAGCCAATCACACTAATGTACTGGATACGTCATATCGTTTGATTAATCGTTCACTACATTAATAATTGCGAATACTAACTGTCAGAAATAGTAGTCCGAATAGCGACGGTTATCTCGTAATTAGTTCCAAATCACTGAAACAAGTTCTGTCCGGAACCTCGCATAGGCCTAAACGATGCCAGACATAACACAGCCGTTCACTCGTAATCAACTAATTAAGTCGATCAACAGATACGCAAAAACAAATTCATCATAGCAGCATGAAAATTCAAAAGATGGGTATAATTGGTATCATGACTGTTCCGTTGCCTAAACAACGGCAGCCAGAGCACTGAATGAATTTAGACGAACCAGAACTTATTGGTACTAAAGAAAAAACAATTTGAAGAGAGAGGGACATTTAAACTGGGGGTATCCAAACAAGTAAATTAAAAAAAACTGTTGGTCCCCAAGAAATAAAAATAGCCCTTCTTTAGGTAGAACATTGCGTGTGCATTGTAGTATTTCATGTTATCCTATTTATTGCAAACTTTTCAACATTCCTCTTTTATCCAACAGGAGAACTATTCTTGATCTTCTCGTCTTATATAAAATTATTAATTCTTCTTATGACTGCCCTGCTATTCTTGTCAATATTTACTTTTATGTTCCAAATAGGTGTTTGAGACGCAAACTGTGGATCAGTCAACTGTAGGAAGCATTCGTCACTTTTAAGGTGTATGACATTATTTAATGACATTTCGTTAAAATATAGCTTTTTATATAGCTTTAAATCTGTACTGTATTTTATTTTGTTACTTTTCATTTTGATGTATATCTGCTTATTCTTGTATTTGTATGTGTTTTCTTTATGTATTGTTTATTTTTCCAGTTTTGTTAATGGGTTTGCCCGTTGAACTGTGTGTTGAATAAATAAAAAAAAGATGTCGCTACACATAAACCATCACGATATAAGTATCACACTTCTGGTACCAGAGAATTAACTATTTACCATTTTCATCTGTTCAGTGTAAAGCCCTCTCCTGATTGGTCGCTGCTTTGATTTAAATGTGAATGACGATTACAGGTGTGCATTCAAATGTGGTAGACATCATACTATCAGCCAGCAGGGGTCTGTCGTTATTGTAGAAACAGATCATTCCACGGTCTTGCTGTACAGTTGTCCTACTTCTGATTTTTCTCCGACGGAGCTGAGCTGAGGTGAGTGGGGGGTAAACCAAGTTACCATCTGGGTTCAACTCCCATGCGTCCTGGACTTCATTTGCTTCTATATTCTACAAACGTGCGTGTATAACTGCCGTGTGCTGTCATCATAAAAGTGTGGCTGTATTGTTTAGAAGTGTATCTATCTAGAATTCATTTGTAACAAAAATGTAATTTGTTTCAGCTGTTCAAGTTTACTTTACGAAACTTTACGAATAAAACTCATCAACAGAATAGTAATGGCACATTTTCAGTTTGAAACCTCCATCAATGAGCTAGTTCGACTGAATGCACCGGTAGGTGGACCGAAACCAAGATGGCAGAGAAAGCAAGATGGTGAGAGCAAGACATGGTTTTATATTGGCCACTCGTTATAATGTATTCGGAGTTGTTTCTTTGTAATATGACATGACTTAATCGCTTTCTCTAGTGCATCAACGGCCTCCGTGAAAGTGTATTCTCTTAAAAACCTATTTTCGTTTTGCAGAGAGGACGGGCAGTGACGGGTGTGGAAACAGACTCGCACTTCCACTGTCTCCATCCACGACCCATCGAAGGCCGTCTGCTTCCAAGACTCCAAGCAAATCGCCTCATAACTCAAAATCCCCTCTGAATAGTACGACACCCAAATGTAAAAGTCCGGTCGCAGATAGGTAAGTTAATGCTGACTGTAAGAATGCGTTCGTGGGGTAGCTTAGATTTAACATTCACATATTTCTATTTATTATACATTTCAGATTTATACCAAATCGTAACAATATGGATATCGATAGAAGCCATTTTTTACTGACACGTGCGCCTGGAGAAGAAAATGATGGCGCATCTCAGAAGGTTCTGCAAAATGCATTGAACGAGGGGCAACCACCGGATTCTAAAATACTCTCGTTTAAAGAGAAGGCCCCACGGGCCGCTGAAGGTACGTAGTTATCCGCAATAAACCCAACTTTGTAAACATGCCAATAATTCTTGCACAATGAAGGATATTCTCTACAACCTGGTCAACTCGTAAAGCAAGTATCTTGCTCGTCAAGTATGCAGTATTTTATTGAAAAACACAGAACAAATGAGGCCGTATGCACGTCTATACGACAGACTTTGTGTGGGTTATGCAATTTGAACACGTGCAAAACTTTTGATGTTTTGTTACGATAGTGATGGTCTGTGGAATGTAGAGAAAAAGTCGCGGGAAAAAAACTTGCAGAACATCCCAACTAATTAACTACAAAAAATTGAAGTATGGAGATGTTTCATGCGTTTTGAGAACGTAAATTTTACAGAAATATTGTTCTTATCGTAGATAATTGCCGAGATTTGCATCTCTTTAGCCTTCTTTCAATTTGAGATGTATTTATCTTCGGGTAATTTATTGCGAAACGTAATACAACATATTACCTGGGAATTAATAACAAAATCAATGTCTAATAGTACAACTCTTGGGCCACGTTGAAAGGTACATTATAATATTGAAGTTTTTTTGTTTGTTTTTTGCAGGTTACCACAATAGTCTTCGTGTGTTGTATAGTACCACTGCCACTACAAATACCACCAAAGCTCATTCTACTCGCCTTATACCGACAGTTCCTGATAGAATACTCGATGCTCCCGACCTCCGCAATGACTTCTGTGAGTAAGCCCCACAAATGTACTGTTTGTAATCTATCTTTTATTTATCAACCGATACTAAGATGAATAATTGTTGTATTTAGATTTGAAGCTGATAGATTGGGGTTCCAAGAACGTTGTGGCCGCTGCTCTAGGGTGTTCAGTCTATCTATGGTCTGCGAATAGTGGCACGATCTCCCATCTCTCAGAGGTAAACGAGCCGGACTACATTTCTGGTGTGTGTTGGTTGCCAGGCTGGAATGTCTTGGCTGTTGGTATATCGAATGGAACGGTAGAAGTAAGTAGATAATCACGTACATCCGTCTTGCCGTGTATTGCCGATTACTATCTGCATTGGAGGTTCAGTCATATAAAGTAATAGTTTATGTCAGCATCCTTTATATCATGTTTTTTCATATTATGTAGTAGTGAGAACAAATTTTGTGAAATTGGGTGAGGGACACCCCCCCCCCCCCATCCACATTTTACATACTGACTATGGGAAACATCAGTACTCGCAGTTGTGTGCTTCACTACGCCCACTACGCCCTCATGGTGTTAACTATGAATTCACGGGCACAATGACGCTAGAGGGCGCAATATATTCCCATCCTGAACGAATTATCATTTGTAACATTCACGATTACCTTTTTTTGTTTTTGCATAGATTTGGGATGTCGAGCTTCAAAAATGCATGCGTCGTATGTCTGGTCACGCGGGTAGAATTTCGAGCTTGTCTTGGAATTCAAATATACTATCCAGGTATTGAACTTTTTATTTTAGGACTAGAAGCAATTCAAAGGACAGTTGAAGATTGAATACACATCAGCCGAATTTTGTTTCAGCGTCGTAATCGTCGCATGGGTCCCACACCTAGAACGGCGATGTGCGGCGACTGACGTTTTATCGATATGTATTCTGTTAAAAATAATCTGTAATTGTAAGACATGAAAATTTGTCAGATCTCAATACACCTCAATTCAAAAAACATTATAACTCTACATTGAATTCAAAAATAACAATTAGTGAAATAACAATGGCAATTAAAAAACTAAAAAATAACAAATCAACAGCTGAAGACGGAATAGCGAATGAAATGCTTAAAGTGAACAATCAACTGCTAGTTCAATGTTTACTGAAGTTATTTAATTCCATTTTAACACAAGGTAAATTCCCAGAAAGCTGGAAATCAACAATACTGGTCCCTTTGCATAAATCTGGCAACAAATCCGACCCAGATAATTATAGAGCGATTGCGTTATCAAGTTGCTTATCAAAACTATTTACTAGTATTATGAATAACAGACTGACATCCTATTTAGAAAGCAATAAATTATTAAATGAACTACAATTTGGATTTAGAAAACAGAAGAACAACTGACGCAATTTTTCTACTAAAAACAATAGTAAATAAAACATTATACACTAAAGAAAATGTCAGTAAACAAAAACGTTTG